CGAATCATTATCACCGAATTCAAACGTTCAATATAAATACGTCTAGAGGTGGACGTGGGAATTCGCGGAAATGGAAGTAAATTTTTTTTTGGTAAAAATTTTTTAGGGAAACTGAATGACTTGATGAAAGATGAAATGACTTGCGAGAATGGGAATTTTTTCCCGAGGGCTAAAATTTGTATTATCCACTTTCATGTCTGTTTATTGAAAGATTAAAATGAACTTTTTTTCACTTTTATGCTTTTCCTGTCTTTTAGAGTTTTATGAGTCAACTGGTCGCATTAACGTGTTTATTTGTATTTTGATTGTGAAAAATAACTACTGTAAAAATATGGCTTCAAAATTTGATATCCAACTTTTTATAAATAAAAAAATTTATATCCAACTTCTTATAAATGAAAAAAGTGATCGACTGAATTTTCATGTTGCGAAAGATTGGTTGCATTCGTATTATTATTTATATTTACAAAATCGGTGTTTCTAGCTCCAATTGTGTGTAATAGTAAATGCAAAAGATGTGCTTTTAGTGTAGCAAATAATAAATAAATAAACTTGTATATCCTATACTTTATGACAGCTTGTTAAATTTTATGCATACCAGCAATTTCATCTGCTAATGAACGTGTCTTCAGCATTGTAGGTCAAATATAGAAAAGAAGAACTATTAGCGAACAGTTGCTTTTTTACATAGCAACATTTAATTGTTTAGTTATAACAGATTTCTTAATAAAAAATTTTGACTGCTTATTTTGGTCTTGTGTACATTTTTATAAGAACAAATCGTATTATTGAACGGGAGATAATGGGAAAGAAATGAAAATGTCTCTTTGGGAATGGAAGGGAAATGGGAAATGTATGGTAAAATTCATGAGAAAAGGCAAATAAGCGGGAATGTTTTGATAGTAACGGAAGAAAATTGGAATGAAAAAGCCATTTCCGTCCACCTCTAATTGATTCCACAATGTAAGGTTGGCTTTTCAGTTTAAACTATATAAGTTATTGCAAATATTCTAATAAATAATTTTAATAATTCACAAACTATAACAACGACAATGAAAATAATCTGCATAATCATGCCTTAGCGGATGATTAAGAAATTACAGCTAGCCACACTCGAGTGAATGTTTTCAGAACTTTTTTCAAACACCCTAAATATAAAAAATAGCTAAAACTAATGTTAAAATGAAAACAAACCATCGTTGTTGTTCCACGGAGAAACGTCCGAGCGACAAATCAATCAACAAGAAAAAATCTGCGCCATCAAAAGTTCTCATCAGTTCACATCATCAATGATTATAAAATGTTGGCAAATCGAAATAAAATTCGTTGATGATTTCTTTACATTAAAAATGTGATGCATCCGAAAACATGCTAAAGATGATTTTGTTTTCTCTTGTTAAAAAAATATCACTGGGAAAACTGACAAAGATCAATCATCAACTTTGTTTCGTTTTTGTGTTTACAGCGAATTTTTTGATTCGATCGTCAATGAAGCCTCCTGGCCAGTGTTTGCCTGCATCAAAAATTGAAAATTTTGCAGCAGCAACAATCCAAATGATTTTAAACCATCAACTAGCTAATAAATAAAAAGATGGCTACATAGTTGATCAAGTTTTGGCTTATATTTGCGTAGCTCTGCTGAAAAAATTTCAATGTTATAGTTATCAACATATAAATGTATCAATAATATATATATATATATATATATATATATATATATATATATATACATACATTTTACAATATTCTATAAATTCTACCAAGTGTTTGGCGTTAATATGTTTGTAGTTCGTTTTTTCGATCATCAAAAAAACGAACTACTAACATATTAATCGAAAAAACAAACTACATATATATATATATATATATATATATATATATATATATATATATATATATATATATATATATATATATATATACAATATTCTATAAATTCTACCGTATGATATGTTTGTAGTTCGTATATATATATATATATATATATATATATATATATATATATATATATATATATATGTTGGTAATAGACCATAATTTTTACAATATTCTATAAATTCTACCGAATGTTTGGCGTTAATATGTTTGTAGTTCGTTTTTTCGATTTTTCTCACTAAAGTTTTTTGGTGAACGTTTAGTTTATTAAAATTCAAAATAAACTTATTTTTCGAATTCATGCTGCAAATAAGGCCATATTTCGATTCCGAATGAATCATCTTCAGTATATATACAGCAAGGAGCACCATCATCTTCAGTATATATACAACAAGAAGCACTGGAAATTGTTGGTTCAGATTCGTCTCAATTCTTAAAGTTTTTTAATGATAAAGTAAATAAAATTAAACAGTCTACCAATGTGAATAATTGTCCGACTATTTGTCAAGCTCAGTACAATGGAAATTGTTCTTTTCCTGACTTTATGCTTTTAACAGAATCTGACGTTAAAAAATTGTACTCAGTTTGCCATCAAAAACATGTATGATAGATGTCTTTCCGGCCCATATTTTAAAGAAATATATTTATTTATTCATCGTTTTTCTTACCAGCATCTTAAATCTGAGTCATTTCCTAATGGTTGTAAGCATGCTATGGTTTATCCAGTTTTAAAGAAAGTGAATATGGATCAAAATTATTTGTCTAGTTATAGACAAATTTCCAACATCTGTTTCATTTCCAAGATTTTTGAACGAGTGGTTGCCAAACAGCTCTTGAATCTTTTGAATGTAAACAGCTTGCTACCAGTTCACCAATCTGGATATCGCCGCTATCATTCAACAGAAACTGCACTGCTTTATGTGTTTTCTGAGTTGTTTGCTGCTTTGGACAAACAACATGTAGGTACATGGCAACAGCTGATGAAACTTAATATTGATTCAGTGAAAATAGGAGATGTTAAAATAGAATTTAGTGACAAAGCAACTATTCTGGGTTTCATTCTTGATTCTAGATTATCGATGCATGATCATATAAAGATGATAACAAATTCATGCTCCGGACAGATTTGAGAACTCTATAGACTCCGTAAGTCATTAGATAAATCTGCTATTCATACCTTGGTGCATGCATTTGTTCATTCACGATTGGACTATTGCAATGGTCTGTTTTACGGTTTGACAGATAGGTCTATTTCTGCAATTCAATCAATTCAGAATAGAGCAGCCAAATTGATTGTTGGAGTTCTCAAATTTAACCATGTTACTCCAATTCTTAAGGGCCTTCATTGGCTTACTATATAAAAAAAAGAATTAAATATAAAATATGTATATTAATGTATAAAACTGTACATGGTTTGTTACCAAGTTATTTGATAGATAAAATAAAAAAAAAAGTTTATAATGATGAGTGGTATGAATATGTGGTATGAATATGAAAAGTTTATAATTTGAGTATGATTAGATGATGGCATTTTGCTGGTTATACCTTATGTCAATCTGCAGATAGCATCAAGAGATTTTGCAGTATCTGGACCAATGGTTTGGAACAGCTTACGGAGATCTTTTAGAACTAAAGATTTGAAACTTAATGATTTTAAAAAGAAACTTAAAACTTACTTATTTTCGCTTTGATTTTGTTGTTGAGTGAATAATTATTTTTCTAACGGTTGATCGTAAATTATTTTCAAGTTTCTTTAGTTCAAAACCAAAATTTTTGTTTACTTTATGCATGATAGAACAAAAAAGCTTTTGTCGGTATTTCTATTCCATCCTCGGTTGTACTATTGCTGGTTGCATTGTTGTTGTAATAATGGATATAAAAATTCCATGATCTATGATGATAGAACGCAAAGAACAAAAAAGCCGCACTAACAACAATGCAACCAACAATACAAAAATAACATAATAATATATTATACGAATCACATGTCAATCGCTATTGAAGAGGATGCAAAAATTATGAAAAGAATCATAAAAAATAACGTTCAAGCAATCAGCGAAAACGATAGTATTAATCTACGAATATACTATTCCAACCAAAGAACGTCATTTTTTGTGATGAAAAACAACTGCACTAGTAAACCAGAATCGATAATGGATTATTTAATCTAATATAATTTTCCAATGTAATATTGGTGACGGTGGGCAACATAATTTCGAATATATTGGTATGACGATGACCAAGTTATCAAAAAGACTCACGATGCACATACAAACTGGCGCTATAAAGAATTGCATGAAAGAGAAACACAAAATTAAAATAAGTAGACAAATCTTGGACTACAATGTTGAAATCTTACATTACAATATCAACCATTATATTTTACGACTAGCCGCATCAATACCCATAGAACAAAAACATCCGATAATAAATATTCAACAACAGGTAATTCCAGAATAGTTAAATAAACTATTCTGGAATGGTCAAAAGACGGCCAAAAATGGTGTTGGAATTTTTGTCAAAGAACCGCTAGCCCAAGAAATACTGGATATTAAAAGGATTAATTCACGTCTCATGTGGATCAAGCTTCGCCTAGAAAAACAAACAATGATTATTTTTTTTGCATACGCACCACAAACAGGCGAATCAGAAAAGATGAAAATGACTCCTGGGCTGCGTTCTCTGACACCATCTCAACAATACCAAAATCTGAAACAATCCTGATTGGAGGCGGTTTCAATGGCCACGTTGGAGAGAAAACAGATGGTTTTGACAACGTACATGGCGGTTTCGGCTATGGAGAACGGAATGAAGATAGCAACCTCATCCTTGAGTTTGCTGAAAGTCACGGGTTTTGTTTACTGAACACATATTTTAGAAAGAGGTTGGAACATCTCATAACATACAAAAGTGGGCCATCAACCACGCAAATTGATTTCTTCGCTGTCAAGCAACAACACCAAAGGCTATTCAAAAATGTCAAATATACCTGGCGAATCATGTGTCGCCCAACATAGACTCCTTGTGGCAGACCTGATTGTCGAACTGTCAAAACATAAGTCTAAACAATTGCCTCGGAGAATCAAAACGTGGTAGCTGAAAAACAATAAGAATAGTTTATATTTTTATTTGTCTGAGTTGACATGACAAACACCATTCGATTTCCATCGGGTCTCCTGAAGGCAGCAGATGTCAATTCTTTTACGCTCAAGCATTTCTGCGATTTCCATACTGCGGCCAGTCAGTGATCCAGCATTGGGCGTTCCAAGTCTAAGTACCATAGAGGGGCCGTTCTGAATTCTTCTGCAACATCCCTCCGCTATTGCATACTTCTCAGAGATTCTTGGCACTCCTTGACCACTTAAGGCCTGCTGGGGACTAAGGGCTGTTGTTTTTGTTTGTGATGGCATAAGGAATAATTTGGGGAAAAATTTTTACATCCGGACACCCATCCTGACGACAACCACCAGTTATAAGCGGTGGGCCTAGCCTTTTGCTCAAAAGCACGCAAGGCAGCGTGGATGCAGTTTTATATCATGCCCAGGACCGTATGTCATGCCTGGGACCGTATGTCATGCCCAGGACTGAATCAAACAAAATATTGTATTGAAATCATTGAACGAAATGCTTATTATTTACAATGCAGCTCTGTCAAACGCAGAGCTACTTACATACAATTTTAACTAAAGTTTCATACCCTGAAGGCTGTCCACTATCTACTACGCGTATGATGGTCTTTGAGTTTCGGACAGACAGTATTCGAACCATGCCATCGCGTAATAGCAACACGAGACATGGCACTTCTACCGCCTGAGCTTATTTGGTAACCATTTCTTTACTACTGTGAAAGCTATCTTGTAAACAGATGATGTGATTGTGATGATGTCATTGATATGAGGTGTTATATTAAGTGTGGAGGTGAATGTGATGCCTAATACTTTCAATTGACTCGTGCGAGTGATTGATCTGGAGGTAATGTTATTTTTTTACGGCTATTGTGAATAATGAATTCGAATCGAATGATTTATTAAGATTAAGTGAGAGATTGCATCGCTTTGACCATGTAGTTAATTAGTCGACTTCTGGTTGGATGGTGTTTAAATTAGATGATAAGATGATAAGGTAGGTGTCGTCACCGTATTTGATGATGTGATTAGAGCTATGAAAAATTTTGAGAGTAGAAGCATTGATGATAAAGGTAGATGGTCCAAGGACAGAACCTTGAACTACACAAAGACGGAACAATACTATATAACTACACTAATGATGGCAGTTGATGCCGAAAAGAGCTTTTCTGTAGTAATAACGTTATTAATAATGTGATGTCAAAAAAGAAACATGGCCAATGACAACCAAACTGGAACAACAACTTCAACGAACCGACATGAAAATGCTCCAATGGATGCAACGAATTAGTCTGAAGGACCATATCAAATCTACCAAAATCCAATCCTGCGTCGTGCTGGTTTAGATGATATAAAAGACAAATGCCGGCAACACCGTCTGCGGTGGTTTGGTCATGTCAAACGAAGTGAAAACAGTGCCATAACTTCTCTTGCAGATGTTGAAGTACCTGGCACACGTCCCAAAGGCCGTCCAAAGAAATCCTGGTAGCAAACAATTGAGCAAGACATGAAAGCTCTAAATTTAAATAAAATGGATACAACTGATTGTCTAATTTGGCGCAAAAAGTTGATGGAAAAGAAAACAACATCCTTACTTGAGAAACTGGGTCTCTGGACGCTAAACGAAGATTGATTGATTGGTCAATTGAATTTTTTCCAACCAATAAATTTAGAAACAGAGGAATCATCGATAATGAAAATACGTAATTTTTATCAATAATGAAAACACAAAAAAGTGTTATATTTATCGATAATGAAAACACGTAAAAGTGTTTACGATGTCGAAAGATTGTAAATCTAAATATTCACTTTGAATAAACAAAGAATTAATAAATAGGCACAGTATAAAAATATTTGATCATCTGGGCACAACCACAACATATCAATTTAAACACCGAAGACGGTATAGGAATACCGAAAAGAGCTTTTCTATTCTATCATGCATAAAACAAACAATAGTTTTGGTTTAGAACTAAAGAAACTTGAAAATGATTTACGGATAACATGATATCGCCTCGACATTAATCAATTTGAGATGCTCAAGAACATCTCCCGCAACACATCTATTCACATTGCTGACATGGAATATAGTTAAAAAAACTCAAAGATTAAACAAAACGATGTTGTTTTAAGAAATATTAATGTTGATAATTTCACATTAGTGAAAAATAAAAAACGTTTTAAATACCTGCAATAAAAGCACCTTCTAATGAAGTTGTTGGTTCCCAGACTGCTGGTGTTTCAAAAATATCATCGAGTAAAAGTTTCACTAAACATGATTTATGAAAAATCGAAATAAAGTCTTGTTTGCATGATAAATTCAAATAACAACAGTTTCATTAAATTTTCATGATAAAATTAAATAATTCTATTTTCAACAAATTGAACAATTTCCAGAAAATTCTAGCAAAGAAAATTTGAAAGACGAACTTTAAATTGATTAATGCCAACAATTCGGTAGAATTCATACAATACCGTATTTGTTGATATATATATATATATATATATATATATATATATATATATAATATATATATATATATATGTTGGAAGGAAATCATATTTTAATATTTTATACAGTATTGTATGACTTCTCCCGAATTGTTGGCATTAACCAATTTAATGTTTGTCGTTTCAATTTTCCTTACTAGAATTTTCTGCAAATTGTTCAATTTGTTAAAAATAGAATTATTATTCAAATTCATCATGCAAATTGGTTACAAATAAATTTATTATTATCCTAATTGTGCATGTTTATCTGTTTTATTGATCGCGTGTCAGAAATGACAAACTCGTTTATTAAATTGGTGTGACTAAACGTGTGCTTCTATATTATGTCAGAATTGACTTGCGCATCTTTTGGATTTTTATGTTGGAAAATTGATCTGTATCAGATACTTTTACGTATTAATTGAAATGCGCGTATTTGTGTACTTGCATGTGCGTTTGTCAGTGAATGTGCATGTCTTGATTGCTCATCGTATTAATATACAATTGTTTTTGAAACAAATTATACAGGAAAGTGCTAAAAATGAAATCTTATCATCTAACAAGCCCCATTCGGCTTTATCTGAGGTACTTTTGTTTGGTTTTTAGATATTTATTAAATTTTAACTTATTATATTTCGATCAGATATGAAAAATAATTTGTTATTTAAATCTAAATATTAACAATTAACAAAATTATCAAATAATTTCTAACCTTTTCTGCATTCAACATACTTTTCGATTCAAATTTTCAAACAATTTAATTTTATGCGATAAAAATATTATAATGTAAAAAAATACTTAATTTCCGGTTTATGATGTGACGGCAGGTGAAAAGAGTGCTGTACGGTCAATCGAATAGCTTGATGAATTTGTCATCACCTTTGTCTTCATCAACCCAGGTTCATATGATTGGATCATTTTTAAATTATAAATTATGCATTAGCATCTATCCCAATCTTAAATGTGCCAATTTTACATACTATATATATATATGAATGTATATATAAATATGTATATATATATACATATATATATATGTATATATATATATATATATGATTAAGAATTGTCCAAAATGAATTATTGATACCAATCACAGCATGTTCAGCGTTAGTTAACATCCAAACTTTTCGATTTTTCTAACAGTTGATCGTAAATCATATTCAAGTTTCTTCAGTAAAAAACCGAAAATTTTTGTTTATTTTATGCATGATAGAATAGAAAAGCTTTTTTCGGTATTCCTATGCCATCTTCGGTGTTCAAATTGAAATGTTGTGGTTGTAACAACATATCTATATAACAATAGATATTTGGCCGATGTAGTACATGCAGTCTTAGACATATCTGTGAAAGGTTTTTTGTGCCACCATCTTATTCCAAGAATGCTTCAAAGATAGCGAACATGGAAGGCTTTGAGGGCTTTGATGTGTTAACGATAAGGAGTCCAGGATTAACAACCGTAAAGCAGTGCAGAAATGCAAGCAGCTTTGTACACAGCAATCTTTGTCAACACGGTAGGATTGTGATTTAAAAAGATGCGACTCCTCAGTCTGCTAAATGCAACCAGCGCCACCCCAATGCGATGCTCAATTTCACGATCCAGACAGCAGTCAGTACTGAGCATACTACCAAGATACATGAATTCTTGCGAATCATTGAGAGCATCTCCATAAACCACGAAAGGTGTAGCTGGTTTGTTTTGATTGGTAACAAGGGAGAGCACCACGGTTTTTGCAGTGTTGACAACAAGTTCTGCACGAGTATAGGCACACGACAAGACATTAAGACTATCTCGTAAAGCGGAGATGGTGCTGACAGGAATGGCAGCATCGTCAGCGTATTGGAATTCAAAAATCCAATCGTGTGATATTTTGCTTTCTGTCTTGAGTCGTTGTATATTAAAGAGGCGCCGTCAAGACGGTAACAAAACGGGATGCCTGCGTCGAACGAAAAACCATCGCGATAGATAAGATAGATAGATGGATGGATGGATGGATGGATGGATGGATGGATGGATGGATGAATGGATGGATGGATGGATAGATGGATAGATGGATAGATGGATAGATAGTCAGACAGACAGACAGATAGATGAGAAACAGATTAAAATTTGCAGGGGTCAGAACGCAGCCCTGTTTTAATACCACAAAAACATCAAACGGTTGAGATTCCTTAACACCAACAATGACTTTAGTTTTCATACTTGTATGAAATTCACGCAGTACCGTCAGAAATTTTGGCGGACAGCCAAATCATCCACAACAAGTCTCTGTTGAGACCGTGTCGAAAGCCTTCGTCTGGTCAATGAAGGCCAGGAAAAGATCCTGGTTCTGTTCACGGCACTTTACCATCAAGAGGTGTACAGCAAAAAAATCATATCGGTGGTGCTTCGGCAACTTCGGAAACCACATTGCGTTTCTGGAATGACAACATCAGCAATGTGTTTTTGAAATCGTTTCAACATGACATGCGCCAAAATCTTGCCAGCAGTGGAAAGCAAGGATATGCCACAACTGTTTTCACATGATTGTCTATCGCTCTTCTTTTTGTAGATAGTCACGTTGTTTGCATCCTTCCGTTGCTGTAGTACTATGCCAGTGGTCCACACTCGAAGAATGAAATTATGCAGCTGCTTACCTAGACGGAAACCACCATATTTGTATATCTGCGGGAAATGCCGTCTGGTCCTGCCGTTATGTTATTTTTCATTTTTCTTGGCGGCTGACATAACCTCATCGAGTGCAAAAGGGCTATTAAGCTCAGCAACAGCCGGGAGTTTTGGAATAAATATAATGTCGGATCCACCGGGTTGACGCAGTTCAACAAATCACTAAAGTGCTCGGCCCAGTGTGACACGATTCCCTCAAGGTCTCTGATCATTACAAGACCATCTTTTGACTTAATTGGATAAGCAGAGTGCTGGGCCGGCCCATAGACAGACTTGAGAGTCGTAAAATCTTTGCGTATTCTTTGTATCTGCTAATCTCTGTAGTTCATTAGCTTTCTCTGTCCACCAATCTTTTTCATGCACTTGCCGAACCGGCGTGATGGCAAGTGCATGAAAAAGATGGCTCAATGGTTAAAGGCGCCTGGTCTAACTATTGCAATGACTGGGTTCGAATACAAAGAGATCCCCGCCTATCATATGCAATGTGTATGATGCGTGGTTTGCACGCGTATTTATATACGCCTGATAAACCTCTTCAAAAAAATGTGTTTCCTAATTAATAAGTTAATTATTAAATTTATTTATATTTTTTGGAAATTCTAATTTCCATTATCAATGTTAATTTTCGTGTTGTTTATGTCTTTATATAAGTTATTGTTACTTTTTTCTTATGTTAATAAAGTTTACTTAAAATCCAAGATCAATTAAAAACCCATTTTGAGAAATTGGGCATATTTTCAAGTGGCAATAATCAAACACAATAGATTTTAGTGGCATTTTTAGGAAATTATCTTTTTATTCATTATTCTTTAAAAAATCAGAATCTGACAAATGCAGAAATTGTTACAGTATGCAAGGCAATTGTATAAAATGATAGTGACAAATAAATAACGAAGAAAAAATGTTGCAGCAAAAAAGTATAAAAAATAAAATAAAATATAGGTTTAAAAAGACAAATGAACAAAATAATTAATTAATTAATATACTAATTAATGATTTAGTATGTAAGTTAAATGAAAGTTACTTCTTCGCAATTGTTTGTTTTGCGAATTTTTGGTTGATCCCAGTTAAATCTTTAGATTTTTAGAAATTGGACTGCATTAACTTTGATTGGTTGATTGGCTGGCTGGCTGACTGAATGACTGACTGACTGACTGACTGACTGACTGACTGACTGACTGACTGACTGACTGACTGACTGACTGACTGACTGACTGACTGACTGACTGACTGACTGACTGACTGACTGACTGACTGACTGACTGACTGACTGACTGACTGACTGACTGACTGACTGACTGACTGACTGACTGACTGACTGACTGACTGACTGACTGACTGACTGACTGACTGACTGACTGACTGACTGACTGACTGACTGACTGACTGACTGACTGACTGACTGACTGACTGACTGACTGACTGACTGACTATATAAATTTTTTAAGATTCCTCCTTTTTAAGATTACACCATTGCTTTGTCGACTCACTTCCAATATCTTCTCCACCAACTCTTCTCTTACCATTCTCTTCTCTAACCCGTAACATCATCCTCTTTTCATCACAACTTATATCTTCTACCTTTAGCTCCCACAAACCTTGTACCCTCTCCTTCCATCGGATCTCCTGTAATGCAACCACGTCAACCATTTTCCTTTGCAATTCCTCCCCCACTTCCAAACTCTTTCCTGTCAACGTGCCTACATTCCAGGTACCAAACCTCCAACCTTTCTTCTAATTAACTTAAAAAAATTTCTTCTAAATTTTATCCTATCATTCTCAAATCAATTAATTAATTTATCTCTTTCCACTGACTGACTGACTGACTGACTGACTGACTGACTGACTGACTGACTGACTGACTGACTGACTGACTGACTGACTGACTGACTGACTGACTGACTGACTGACTGACTGACTGACTGACTGACTGACTGACTGACTGACTGACTGACTGACTGACTGACTGACTGACTGACTGACTGACTGACTGACTGACTGACTGACTGACTGACTGACTGACTGACTGACTGACTGACTGACTGACTGACTGACTGACTGACTGACTGACTGACTGACTGACTGACTGACTGACTGACTGACTGACTGACTGACTGACTGACTGACTGACTGACTGACTGACTGACTGACTGACTGACTGACTGACTGACTGACTGACTGACTGACTGACTGACTGACTGACTGACTGACTGACTGACTGACTGACTGACTGACTGACTGACTGACTGACTGACTGACTGACTGACTGACTGACTGACTGATTTGAACGTACGGAGTACCAGAATCATCTGTTTCAAATGTGACTGATAAAAAAGCAAATGACGAAACCTAAATTAGTGAGATTTTCAGTTGCATACTCAAGAAGGTTGAGATCAAAAAACCCAGCAAAACCTGAGCCATTGTTGGTTGATTTGTCTGAATTTGTCTTGGCAGCTAAAAAATTGAGAAAATTTGACTAATAAGTCCAGATTTGACAGAAGCTGAAAGACAACAGGTTTATAAGTTGAGACAGGTACGAAACAAATTGAATGCAGAACTCGGTGCAGACTCGCTCTTTCGATATGACATCCGTAGAAATCAAGTGCAGAGATTCAGGAAACTTTGTTAATTTAAATTCAACTTATGATAGGGCAGGTTTTCTAAACAGATACAACACCCTACACAGTATGTATTGAAATGCTACTTCTTTAGATAATAAACTGAATGAATTCAAAATTGTTGTTGAGGCGTATAATCCATCGGTTATTGGTGTAAGTGAAACATGGTTCAAAGATAGTTCAATTGTTAATATAAAATACTTTAATGTATATAGAAAAGATCGAAATGATAAACGTAGTGGTGGCGGAGTGTGTCTGTTTATCAATTCATCTGTCAATTTTTATGAAATCAATGATACTGTTTTCAACAGGAGCAAAATTGAACTAGTATGGACAGTTATTTGTCTTTATAGTGATAAATATTTGGTGGGGTATATCTATAGGCCAGATTATTTTTCAAGTAAGCTAGGTGTTACGTTGGTAAGGGTTTTATAGATGTTCTGATAATGGGAGATTTCATTTCCCATCAATAAAATGATTAATCGGGTCAATCATCACAATTATAAATGTCAGTGGCATTGAACACAAATTTAGCGACATAATCAACGACACGTTCCTCTTTCAACATGTTAACGTACCAACATTTCAAAAGTCCAATGGTGTAACAGAGAATATTTTGGATTTGAATTTTATAACGGAATCAGGGAACGTATGTTCAGTAGATCCAATTTTTGTTTTTGGTAATATAACTCAGGGTTATCTTATTTTGTCCTTGGTTTTGTTGTAGAAAATGTCTACCCAGTTCAATGTCTATATACAAATTTTTATATAATAAAGAAAATTTTAGAAAAACATCTCGAGTGATATCTAATATAAATTGGACAAAATTATTTGAAAACATGACTGTACAACAAATGTATGACGAATTTCTTTATTACATAAGTGAAGTAATTAATATTTTTGTACCCATAGTCGATGCAGCAAAACGTCGTAATAAAACAGCTTCATGGATCAACTTACATTTAAAAACACTTATCAGAAGTTCTTTAAAAATATATGTTTTTTAACATTCATCAAACAGTGAAAGAGTCAATTAAGTCTTTAAGAAAACCAAATGGCAAACTAAGTCACGACTCAGTTGAAATTGTGAATCTAATAAATGCCAGTTTCCAAGATGTGTTTGTACTTGAAGACGACAATAAAATTCCGCCTTTTTATGCAAATGAAAGCATTTTTGAACAATTTATAGATATGATGCCAGATGATATCATTTATGAGATCGTTTTAAATAAACTTAGATAGCTCGATGAAAACAAATCTTGTTGTGTTGATAAACTGCATCCAGTATTGTTATAAAAGTGTGCAGAGGCGTTTGCTGTTCCAATTGCTTTGATATTCCAAGCCTCTGGCTACTAGTCAACTTCCACTTCAGTTCTAATCGGCAAGCGTTTCACCGATCTACAAAAAAGGCGACAAAACTGTAGCAACAAATTATTGCTCGCTTTCTTTAACATCAGTTCCATGTAAAATAATGGAAAGTATAATTCGAAAAAGTGTAGAAGGTCATCTTTTAAGGAATAACATAATAGTAAAACAACAACATGGTTTTGTTAAGGGCAAATCATGCACAACAAATCTACTTGAAACTCTTACATTTATTTCCTTAAATTTGAATAATTCTATTCCTGTGGATGTAGTTTTGTTTGATTTTGCCAAGGTATTTGATACTGTTCCACACAAAAGATTATTAGCTAAATTAAATTAAGATAAATAGATTGGTGTATAAATAGATTGAATCTGTTCTTAGAAACAAAAGACAAAAAATTGTTCAAGATGAAACTATTTCTGACTTGGCTAAAATTTTTAGTGGTGTTCCTCAGGGCTCGGTTATTGGTTCACTACTCTTTATTCTCTACATCAATGACTTACAAACAAAACTGGAAAATACAACAAAACTCTTTGCAGATGATACCAAAATCATATAGCAATATCGTCAGATAACGATGTAGTCGAACTTCAATCTAATTTGAATGAGACATTTCAATGGACGCAAGACTGGCTTCTACGGTTCAACATTGAAAAATGCACTGTTATGCACTATGGATCAAGTAATACAAAATGTCCACTGTATATAAATGGAATACTTCTTGCTGAATCTGAATCCGAGAGAGATCTTGGAGTGATTTTTTCAAATAACATAAAATGGAAAATTCAGGTCATTTCAACATCAAACAAAGTAAACCAAATGCTTGGTCAAATAAAAAAAATCTTTTGGGAAATTTGATTATAAGTTGCTAACCCTAACTTTTATTCGTCCACTGTGGTGTTTGCATTATTAGTTTGGTCCCCAAATCTATAGGGTGATAGCGAGATAATCGAAAAAGTCCAGCACAGAGCAACAAAGTTGGTTCCATTTATAAGAAACCTAACTTACGAAGTCGATTTAAAAAATTAGAATTAACAACCTTGGTTTAAAGAAAAAAAAGGAGAATTGATTCAGTTGTTTAAAATCATGCATAATTTGGACAAAGTTGATTTAAAATATTTTAAAAAATTAATAAGAAATTGAGGTAGAGAGAATTATTTATTCAATAGAGTCGCAAATACTTGAAACTCGTTACCAAATGAATTTGTTGAGGCACAATCAATGAACAAATTTAAAGCTAGGCATCGATTGCTGAAGGAACAACAATCAATTAACGAATCAGCTCCTTATTCAGTTTCAATTTTTTGTTAACACCATTGACAATAGCTGTTTTAGTAAACATAAAAACAAACATTTACATTTTCTACAACTATGTCATCGACATTTTTCAATTTTTATAAATTTTTAAATCACCTGCTAAATCGTCAACCACCACACGAAGCCCGTCCGTATTATTATCATCAATAACAACAACAGCTTCGGCAAATGTATCAACACGTTAGTACCATTAAAACCAGCCCACGATAAAAAATATCACAATACCACAAAATGCCACAAATACTACGTTCACAACAAACCAGCTGTTTTCCAAGTCGTTTCATAGACTAATATCGATATTGCATGATCACTGCTGACGATCTGGTGGAGGAGTACTTTCGGATCGCACAAAAAATTCATTAATACTTATTGTTGCGAATTGTGCATCCTCAGTTTATAACAAAGCCTTTTGCATGTGTATAAAGCTTGATTTAGTCCGAACTTGCGCCTCCTTTTTTGTTTCTTTTTATAGTGCTCTGAATGTATGTGCTTTTTTCACCATAAAATTTAAAAATACGAGCTATTTTTGTGCAATAACATTTTTAGCAATAGCCTCACATTTCTTCTAAAATGTTTCAACTTATTTTTGTTGTATATAATAAAAAGTTGTTATCTAAATCATTTTACTTTAACATCTAACCCTTAACATCAAAAAAACATTTTTGCTTGTTAAAAAATAAACGAGTTACGATAAAAATATTTATCGTTATTATTTTTCAGAAATTGTTCATTACGACTCAGCCAATACATCAGAAAAAATCTGCATTTTTCAAAAAAAAAGTATCTAAAAATTTAATTATTTGTTCAATGCTTTTTATTTTGAATGTATTAAAAACGAACTATTTTTATACATTAAAGATTCAAAGTTCCTCGATGCCAGCAACTCCCGAACTGTATAACGTTGTCAATAATATTAATCATAATGATAGAAATAATATCAACACCCTTAATCAAAACAGAAACAACTACAACAACAATAACGGCGACAATGGATTTCAAGATTACATAATCCTTCAGAGCAAAAATAGCTCAAATGTAACGCAACAGCAAAATTATCAACTGAGTCAACCAAACAAAAACAGCTTACAATTTCAAAAATCGCCGAACGTATGTTTCCAACAACATCAAGAATTAAACGACTTTTCTATAAACAATTCTCAATACTCACAAGATGAATTTACAAGTGAGCTTGATCACAAACCTTACAACGTTCATTCAGCTATGACATCCATAGAAATCAAAGAATGGTTACTGAAAAATCAATTTGAAAGTTATGCGCAATACTTTGAATGTTTTACAGGTTAAATTATTTTTTTAAATTTTATAATTTTACATTTTTTTTTATATTGTTAATTTGTTATATGCATATTTTATAACTTTTAAACGGGTTTTTAACTTTTTCATTAAAAGGTTCTGATCTTTTGCGACTAACCAGAGAAGATTTAATAGACATCTGTGGTAAGATAGACGGTATACGAATGAACAATGCAATCCACTCGAGGTAGAAAGCACATATTTATTATTATTATTATTATTATTATTATTATTATTATTATACGTTGCGTACAACTTCGAACGATAACGTTGCCTACAACTTCTAACAAGAGCTACAGAGCTGCAATTTACTGTTTTATTGCAACTACTGGTTTTTAAGTATTTAATATATTTTAAATTAGTTTACAGTGTTAGATAACAATACGATCATTGTGACGGTGTAGTTTAATTTAAATTTTAATAGTAATTTGAATTTTAAATTAATTATTCGTTTAATTTTAGTTTTTAAACTTTTAAATGGTGTTAATGCGGCGAAATGTCCGTATTATTTTTAAGAACTTTAAATACATTGCATGAAACTACAAAACTTAATGTTTCGCCGAAAGCTAATATTAAAATCTCTCCTAATATTATTTCTGATAATAATTTAATTTACGATATGAGCGAGCAATAATATTGATAAAATCCTGCGTTGTTGCTGTGGAAAATTTTGCAGGGGTCGGAAGTGATTACTCATGCATCGTCGAACTTGCAAAATGTCTAAATCTTTTAAAACAAAAGTACCTGATGTCGAAACAGTTAACAACACACAACAACAATTTGAACACACGTCTAATCATCAACAACTCCAAATCCTCTCCCAGGTACCAAGCTGCCGAGAACGCAGTCAGTGGGCTGAAGTAAATGTTTATTTTCACCAAGAGTTTTGTGGCTTGAGCCAGTTAGATGACATCAACACATTTACTTCAATTTATCAAAATACAATCTACAACTACTATACCAACACAGTAAACACAAAATGTCAACCAATCATAATTCAAATCTAAAATTCTTGGTCGCAACAATAACTCGTTTTACAAAGAAATAATTGCTACCAGTAAACTAATAAGATCCAAACTTTGTCAATCAAAACAAAACAATAAATCTGACAATCGACCAAACACCTCGTTTCAACAATCAAATAATTTCTGGCACTCTCGCCTTGTACATCAGTACCTCCATCATTCATTGTCGATGAAGAGAGCTGTTTCATTTGCAACTTATGAAAGCCGACAAAAAATTAATTTCAACATTCCTGATTAGATTCCATCTCTGTTATCGCTTTCATTCGGCGAAAATATCGACCCTCCAACTTATGAAAAGGTTTCAAAAATTGTTGGCAAAAGTACCCTCCGTGCCCATACTTGTATCAATTATTATCCTAAAAAGATGTCCAATTTTCAGTAACTGTTTCGACAAGATATTTTAAAACGTTGAGCTTCTGCAACAATACCAAATTGTTTTAAAAAAGCATTAACAATTTTAATCTACAAAACAGACCCAACCAACTTGCAACAAAATTATCTCCAAACTCATAAAAACAGATTGCATAATTTTCTACAACAGTTGAAATTGAGTCTTAGTCGGAATGAACCTTCTAAAAATTTGTAATTTTTGTTGCGATAAAATGCTCAGAGCAGTGGTGGTTTTTAGAAGTTCAATTAATTTAGATTTGATTGATTGCATCTTTGAATTTTGTCGTCATATCCATAATCATACAATCTGCCCAGATATACAAAACTTTCTTCAATTTTAACGTTTGGAATGGCCGTATTTTCGACATTTAGTTTTGGTAGAAACTGCTGGCACTCTCCGTTTCTCTTCCTTTTACCAAGGAGTGACACTTGTCAATGCATATCTTTACGCTTGACTATTTGCACCACGCATAGTTCAAATCTACTTGCATCTTTCATAAGGTTGAGAATGCGTCCACCTTTAGATAAAACTCTTTTTGAATGTTTGTGTTAATGAATTTATACTGTTGTAGAAAATTATACAAACTGTTTTTATGAGTCTTGAGATAATTTTGTAGCATGTTGGTTGAAGATTCAATTTCTATTTCAACTGCAACTTTTCTTCAACTTGAGTATCGTCAAATCTAGATAGCTTAATTGTTAAAGTGTCAGGTTATGGCTAGTTACTTCTGTTATTGGCTGTATATCTAAAGTTTTGTGGGCACAACATCATCTCCCTAAAAGACATGATGAAAAAAAACAAAATAAAAATTTGAAATTACTTAAAATCTTGTAACAATAAGGAAACTAATTGTCTGTGGCGTCCACCAATTTTATTAAGGCAAATAGTATGTCGGCTGACTCAGGTTTTCTGGAACTGTCACTCAAATTGCTGGAGGAAGCAAGAATCTAATCTAGCCTCAACCATATGTTTGCCCTTCATTGTCACAGTTTGTTCTTTGTTGATCAAAGCAATCAACTGGTACATTTCGCCATTGCGCACAGCACGTTGGTCAAAAATCATTGAAAATCTCTCTAATGTGCTCTACAAGTTTACCAGAAAATATATAATACAGTAGCCCTAGCCCTCCGCCAATGTTAACTTATTCAAATTGGGTGAATCAACAACTTACTTGTGTCCGTTATGCAAACCAACAAACACGTCATATCCAAATGTGGATCGGCGACAGTTCTAGCTAGATACACAGACAGACTGCTGTCAATAATCATCACCTGGTTAAAGATTTGTGTATTATCGGACCGTGATATATTTGCGGATCTTGACACTGAAAATGTACAATTTGATTTCACAGCTATTCAACAAATTCCGACCAGATATTGCAATTATATGTATCAACAAGATCGAAATTGTAGAGCAAACAATATGACACGAGACAAACCTAGTTTTATTCAGAGAATACAAACGCCAGAATTACTAAAACTTGAAATGTAATTCAAATGCAGGCTTTTAAAATTGTTCAAAATTTTATGGCCACATTTTTTTGACAAAAAATTAATCAACGCTGTAATTCGCTCGTCACATAACATTCATTGCTACAGAAATTCTGCATTGCTATCTTAAATATATTTTTACTCTCGTACACTTTATAATAAATGAGCATGAGAGGCTCGTACATTATATTCTCATTTATTAGTTCTTTTTTAATGAATTGAATTTTAATTTCATTATTTTTTATTATTTTTTTTTCATTTTGGATTTTGAAAATATATAAGATAAAACATATTAAATTATCCTTACTGAGCGTTACTTGTTCGTACTAGTGATGCGGTACTCATACTTAATACTTGTGCTCGAGTACTACTCGAGTACCAATTTTAAACACATGTGCTCGTTCTTGACACCTAAGTACTTGTACTCGTACTTGTTATTTTACAATGTACTCGTACTTAAAATTTTTCTAGCAGTACAACGTCCAAATACTTTACAAAAATTTACAAACTTATAGTTCTAATACTTTGGAGATTTTGGCTGTTTTTCCAAATTCGGCTAAGTCATAATTTAACCCGATTTCAGATTTGCGCAGAATTTTTTGTCATATAAGTTTTAATAAACACGCATGTATGTCTACATTTACACATTGTACAATTATTTGTTACATGTAAACTTGTATGCTTAGTGTGTTATTTAATGAACGTATTGTAAGCGTGAAATGATTAGAAGCCTGAAGAATTACGATTGTACCTCTTGAACTATCTGATTGTGTGTCTATCTTGATTATATCTTAATTACTTTTGAATGGCCAGACCATAGATGTCTCAACGTAGCCTCTAGATACGAAACCTTTAAACGCTCATATTGCTTAATAGGCTTTTGTGCTGCGCGCATAAGAGTCGTGTTATGCAGTGCAATTATATAATTTTGTTTTTATTGTTTTTAAACGAAAACAAAAAAACTGTTTTAATAATTAACTTTTTTATTAAATCAAAAAATCATGAAATAAAAAAATTTAGTTTTATTATTTACACGGTCATTAATATTTTTTAACAAGAACGAACAAAATGTTATTTTGTGTATAATTATTTACAAGTGTTGTGAAAAGTCTTCGTTAATAGTTGGAAGTTTTGAAAAGTTTCATAGCTGTTTCTGTATTTTTCATTGTTTGAAAAATTTGCCAGCAGTCTAGACAAGCGGAAAATATATATTCAGCTGGCTTCAACAAACCTTCTCCGTTGATGTATTGCAAATAAACAACAATGTTAGAATGATCTTCATTGGAATAAAATGACTCGTCATCAGTCTTTTTTCTATGTTTGAGGGATTAAATAATATTTTACTTAATTTGTGTTTTTTTTTTAAATTTAATTCTAACCTGTATAATTCTTCTTATGTGCAATGTTTGCTGTGCATTGGGAAATATTTAAAAAAGGCTGTAATATTCAGGAAGAGTTTTTTCTGGTTAAAATGTTGTTTTAAATATGTTGTAAATATTTGTTAGGTTATGGACTGCATCAAATAAAAGAAAGATAGGTTGTTGAGTATGATGGTCTATTGCATGATGAATGAAAAATTTGAATTCAATTCGCTTCGCAACATACACTTCATCAAATATTAAAAGACAAGTTCTTTGTAACTGATTAATAGAATTTAATCAAAGAGTTCACATTTAACATTAACTCTTCTAGTGACTTTCATCTGTTGTACAATGCTTTACTTTCAGTTAACTTTTTTTATGCTGAGAAGCTTGAAAAGTAAATCAAATAAGCCTATGCTAATAATTGTGAAGAATAATTTCTCCCATGTTTGCTAAGATCAATTAATTTTAATTGATCAAAAACAAATTTTAATTGAAGATATTCATCATCACTCTCAACAAAAAAATTTAAACAAGCTTTTAGTTGATGTTTAGTAACTTTTTTGTAGTTCAGAATTGGTCTCTGTAGAAGTTTCAGTTGATTATCCATTTGGTCAGTGCTATAAGGCGTGCTGATTCGCATGACGAACACGCCGTTGAGATGCTATAAGGCGTGAGAAATCCGCACGGCGAATTAAACGTGTCAATGCTATGAAGCGTGAGGCCGCACGGCGAATTAGACGTTGAGATGCTATAAGGCAATGCAACCACACAACAAGGATGCCTGGTTAGGTCATGTCCCAGTTTTCTTCAAATTTGCAGACGGTTTAACATCTCCATAGTGCTTACAGACCCACCTAATTTTGGCGCTTTCCAGAATACATTTTTTGCTAAAATTTTTAACTTTTTCTTCAATGTCACGCTTCATTAGATGGTAGTTTTCTTTAATTAATTTAAATTAAAAAAAACTTTTTATCACATCAACAGCTTTTTCAACATTCATAAATCCATTTCCTAACTTTAACGACTCGGAACTCATTTTCTCAAATTAGAGTGATAAAATAAAAAATTTAATTTATTTAATTAAATTAGATCAAACCAAACAATAAAAATCAAACGAATCTTCGAAAGCCTCGCCGCTCACAACTGATGAAAAATGAACTCTTGCCAAAGATAATAAATAATAGTATTACGACGCGCAAATATAAATTTATTTAAAAATTTTTTTTATTTATTTTTAATTGTAAGTAACGGAAATTTTTACAAATACTTGTTAAAATAATATTCAGCGTAAAAAAATTTTTTTTAACATATTTTTCGTTCGCACGCCTTATAGCAGTCTAACAAGTTCATGGCCCGATAGATTTATCGTATCCATTTAGACGAGCGAGAACACTTAATATTTGACTAATCTAATCCTTGATAAATCTTTTTCAATAATACCATTCATGAATGAATGAGGAAATTTAACTTCTTGATGATGCACTGTAAATTCATAATTTTCACTGATCAGTATTGAACATGCAACTGCTGGACAATTAATTTTAATTATAATTTTTTCATCAATTTAAATTCAAATTCTGAGGGGAAAGTGCATTCTTCAGATAAACGTTGTTTTAGTTAGATCATTCAATCCACAATTATTTAGAAAATCAGTTTCTAGGAACTCTTCAGCTGCTTTTTCTGCCCTTTTAATATTTAACACATAACAAGTAACTGATGAAGGTTTTGTTGTCAATCAAGGTTGCGTTGGAATGGAAAAATATGAAAGTGCATTCTGAAATTTAGATGTTACTGCATCTTCTTTTAACTTTTTTCATTTTTCAAATTGATAGACTGTAGTGTTTTTTATTAATATAACATGTTTATAGAATATAAATTCTGAAATTATATTAACGTTAATTAGAATGTCTGAAAACACAAAAAGAATTTCATAATACATTATAATAAAAAAATGATAGCGTATTCTTTAAACAAATTGTTATAAAAACCTAGCAGTGAATAAAATCTACGTGGTCAAATATCACAAAATAATTATGGCCCTCTTTTACGCGGTATAAGTAACGATAATAAGAAATTTCCTATATGTGCTTGGGCCTACTCATAGACTCCTAAATAATAGATACTAGACGAGAAACTGAAATTTACACATGCCCAAACTGAGGCCATGCATTCTATACTACACACATAAAGTAAACGACGGAACGTCTTTAATTCTGCAACACTTAAAAATTTTAATACTTTGAACAAACGATTAAAATGTTGAAACGATAAATATTTTAAACATTTATTAAAAAAATAAAAACATTATTTATTGCAAAAAAATATAATAATGAAAATAAATTCAAATGTTCTGTAATTTACAAAGTTTTCTTTTTTTATATTTAATAGTCTTCTTTTCATTTGCATTTTCTCTAATTGATTTAATTAAATTATTTGCAACAATGTTAAAAAATACATTTGAAATTAATTGTTTGAGATCATGCCCTGTTGTGCAAAATTCTGGAAATTCATTCTCCAAGTCATTATTGTCATTAAATCTATTTATAATATCACCAAATAATTGTTGCTGGTTTGAAACAGAGAGAAATTTGTGTAGTAATTCTTCAAATGCTTTCCTACATATCAAAAAAAAATAGAAATTACATGATGATGGTCTTTTTAGTCCCCTACGATTTATTAGATCGAATTATGTTGTTCTGGAATCATCATCCAATTCGATTTCAAAATATGAATTTATTGCCAAATTTTCCAGACATTGTGCACATTTATTTTTATGAAAAATATATCTAGCAATATATCCAGCAACAACATAAATAGAATCAAGTGTTGTTTTTTCAGGCTTGAATTGGTCAACAATATCATCTGCCACTTTTGAATAATTTGAATTTTTTAATGAAAATAAAGCCAGTTTGATATCATTAAAATCAAAATTACTATTTTTAAATAATGAAATTCCACACTTCTAAAAACAAATGAAACTCAGGTGTCACTAATATTGAACAACTAACAGATAAATGATGATCCTCATCAACCATGTTGTTGTCTATGAATTTAATTATAAATTCAGTAGAAAAAGTTACTTCTTCCTCTAATTTCATTTTAATATCTCCAAGATTCAGACCTACGATTGAATCTTCTTTCATAAAATTTCTTTCCAACTCTCCGAGTCTTTCCATTTCTTTATTATTCTTACTGCTTCGAAGCGCATTACCTGATCTTGATGTAGCTTTATGATTAGAAAAAATAGTTAGAACCGAATCGGGTTTAAGACAAGTCTTATCAAAAACGTATCCTTGTTGTTTCGGCGTTGACGAGCGATTTTGCTGTCCTGAGATGATGTGATGAAATCATCTGGAGTAAAATGCTTCGAGCAAATCCTGGTATGTTGCGAAGGATGAAAATCTTTTCTCGCGATATTTTTCAACTACTTTCTTGCTAATTCTTCGTCATCAATAGGAAATTTATAAAACGTGATTTTCTGTTTTTCCGTAATCTCAGACTCCGAACGATTTTCTGACGTATACCCAGATTTAAAGCCATAAACACAACATTTATTAACCATTTTGAATTTAATAATTTAAAATAAAATATTTTTAATAATTTTAATATTTTTAAATAAATCAGCAAAATAAAAAGCAAAATCAACAACACAATACAAGCGATGATAAACGAAATCAAAACGTTCAAAAGTAAAAAACAGCAACTTATATAGCGAGTAGCATTTATTTATCAAACAAGCATGGCCTCAGTTTGGGTCGAGCACACACAAAATCACATTTGGTTTCTCGACCAGTAAGATATTATTTAGGAGACCATGGCCTACTATGCTCAAGTTATGACGTGCGTGTGTTAGCTCTTTCGTATCTAGAGGCTGTTATTACATCGAGATATCTATGAGCCAGACACTAACACCAAGCACACGGGTTAAGAAATTTGTTTTTTAATCGCACATGTTTTATTATGCATGCAAGTTTTAATGTATGTGTTGTTTTCATGTGTATGTTTTTATATACACAAATTTATTAAGAGATATTAATTCAATTTTTATTAAATTCAAGTTAATTTATTGATAAGGATGTAATGTAACAAGGTTTTATACTGAGTTTTAAACAAGCTGTAGGCAAGCTAATGAAGTCATAGTCAATAATTATAACAAAATGCACTGTGCACAGATCTGCCTGCTAATATGGCTCTGGCCAGATTTGTTTTTGTAAATCCGGCTCCAGAAAAATTAAATCTAGTACATCCCTAGAAACAATATAATACTTGATTGAATTTTTTATTGATTTGAAATAGAAGTTATTTATATTTATTACGCAACTGACCAGAGGACCACACAGGCCACTTGCCCGTGTAAGCCCATGCATCTCCCGAGCAAAACCCACATCCCCTAAGCGCAGACGTAGAAAAGAGAAAAAGAAATATTCAATATTCACACAAAAGTTAAAAATTTGTTGAGGCCTACTAAAGTTATTTTGTTTTTGAAAATTAAATATGTTTGTGACGAAACAATCTCATTAGGCAATGAGTTCCAAATTCGAACAATTCTGCTACCAAAAAAGTATCCGGATGTGTTGCTGTCGGGGTTAGATTCACGTAGTCTATAAGGATGTCCACGAGTTAATTGGTAGGACAAGGGAGGAAACAGATCATTCAAATTATGCTGATAACGTTGTTTAATATTTTGTACACAAAATAGGTTTGAAATTAGACTGCGATGTTTCAACTTTTGTAATCCCACTAAGCACAGACGAGTTGTGTACGGAAGATGAAGAACTGAAGGAATGAACTTTGCAAATTTCCTTTTTACACTTTTTATTATTGTCAAATGGTATTTGTAGTCAGGTTTCCAGACGGACGAGCAATATTCCGATAATGGTCAAACGTATGTGCAGAAAGCTTTGGTGAGAAGGTCTTTATCTCTTGAAGTTTGATCAGGTATGCACGAGTAGACGCTCTATGAGTGATGTCATTGATGTGCCGACGATTGCTGATTATTACACCAAGATCTATAAAGTGGCCAACAGGATTCAAAATGTGGTGATCAACCGCATATTGATTAACAAATGTATTATCAGGTTATTTGTTGACGAATAAGCAATGAATCTTTAAGAAATCTAATAAAATTGGTAGAAGTTGATCTACGCGGAGAATTAGTAATTAAATTGTTGTCTAACAAATACGATAATAAATTTTTATTAACAATTTTTTCCATGACACAGTATGATGAACAGGTAAGAGATATCGGTCTATAATTGCTAGGATAATTAGTTGGATCTATTTCATGTACTGGAATGATGATAGCAGTCTTTCATTTAGATGGTATTGGATTATCTTTAAAAGATGAGTTAAAGATGTGGCATAGTGGAACAGCTAAACATCTAGTGAAAAAGCACACATTATGAGTGGAATGTTAGGTATTCCATCGGGACCCACAGAAGTTGTTCTTTTTAGCTTGCGAAGTGCTTGATAAACTATATCTGGAGTGAAATTAATATCCCCTAATGATTTGTTAGTACGGCTGGGTAGTGAACAAGTACTATTATCATCAACAGTAAAAACAGTAGCAAAATAATCATTGAATGTATTTGCCATCATCACGAGATCACATGTCACATTGCTGTCGTCAATTCTCAAACTGTCAGGATTATATTCTGATAAAAACAAATTAGAGTCATTCTGTTTATTCTGTAGGCTTCTAATATTGGTCAAGGCCATTCGAAGAGGTGTGGGTTTATTTGTTGAGACGAAAAGGCTGATCATTATTCAATTTAGAAGATTTTTCACCGGTGAATTTGATAAGGCGTCGCTCCTGTCGTTTGATAAAAGCTTGTTCAGTCTATCTTTTAAAAAGATCATGATTGATGAAAACATTCTTGGTCTCAGGCTAGTCTAGAAAATTTAGGAAGTCTAGATGAGGATACTAAATCGTCAACTGTTTCAGGAGCTGAAAGAGTAAAACACATTTTTTACTACTGATTTGGCAAGTTTTGATAATCTGCGGCTTAATCGACAGAGCAAAGTGACAATATCCCTATCACTGGCTCCAGGTTGTTGTTCAAGGCCAGATATAATCTCATTACTGGCTCGTCTTTCTTCATCTTTTCGCTCCTGGTCCACCGCCCAAAAGGCTTTTGTCATTGACTCAATCAATGGTGTTTCATTCTGCTTAAAAACTTGCTTCTGGAATTCTGATATGCTAGTACTCAACGTTGACAAAGTGGCATGAATCTGACACATTGAGTTAGTCACGGCTTCAGACATGCTTTTGATTGCACGCTCAAAACTGTTGCTTCCATTTAATAAGTGTTGTTTTAAATAGTTTGCTAATTTGCTCATGATCTAGTGACCTTCTCAACTACTTGTTTCATATTTGAGTCAAATTTCACAAACAAATTTTTAAGATTGTTGTTAGAAAAGGAGATTACTTTTTCAACATTCTCTTTGGATTTTTCCAAGAGCCCGTCAATGAGTTTCAACATGTTTTCGCTAGATTTTTCCATGACTTTGGTTATCACAATTTCCAACGATTCAGCAGTTAAAGGAGCATTATTACAGGAATCTGTTTCACAAATTGAAACTAGCTTGCTGGCAAATTCAGAGATAGGTACACCTAACGGATTACGTTAAATTAATAAACGTACGCTTAACAAAAAGTTCAAAATACAAATTTCTATTATTTGGAACTAATTATAACATAAACCGCTAGAATTATAAGTGAAAACGATACGTTTTAACTCCGCAACGTAAAATAATTTTTGCGAAAATTTGTTTACAACCGTCCGCCATTAACCAGAGAAATGTTTTTTTGTTTTTCTTTTGCATAAAAGTACTTGTATTTGAGGGTTAAGTACTTGTACTTGAATTTTTTTCGATACTTGTATTCATACTTGAGACTTGAGTATTTGTACCTGTTCTCGAGAAAAAGTACTTGAAAACACATCTGGTTCGTACTGCTTCATATTAGAAAACATTTAATAACTTTTTATACATTTAGCTAACAAATAAAATATTAAAATCAAATTATATTAATTTAATCAAATTTTAAATTTAAGTATATTTAACTATATTACATATAAAAATTATTCCCAAACATTTTTATACCATAAACTTCTTTGTAATAAATTGTTTAAACGAGTGTGCCTTCTTTTTTTGTCATCTTCATTGACATTTGGATGCTTAATAATGTGAGTTAATGATGTAATTGTTCAAGTAATTAAAACTAAAATATTTGAATCGTCCATAGACAATCCATTTAAGTATACAAAATAGAATGGCAAAATTTACATTTGGTTGAAAATGATAATTTTTATATTATTCAATCATAATTACACAATTCTTGAAAAAAGCGGAAATGTTTATAAATAGTAGCTTATTATACTGTTCGTGCACACCCATAATTCTAGACTACACGATGCACATTTGTATGTATGCGCAAGCACCAAATCATAAGCACTAAGTATTCTAGTCCCATGCTGTCAACTTTTAAACTGATCAACGCCCAGTAAGAGCAACAAAGAAATAAGAAATATGGCATTTATTGTGTGAGCTTACTGAAAATTTTGTTATTATTACTATTATTTTTATTATTGTTGTTGTTGTTACTGCTGCCATTATTATTAGGATATTAATGTAGCCACACTTTCTCTACAACAATTTATAATTATGATAATAAAAATAAGTTTTTTGAGGTGTTTTTCATTTTGTACTAAAAAAATATGTTTATCACCTGGAAAAAAACTTTAAAAATAAAAAAAATCCTAAACGCGCTCCCAGACTACATTTGAGTTGCATAGACAGGTTTTTCTGGAAGTAAATTCTGCTCCAAAGCTTTTATTTCTTAATTTTTTAAACGTTATTTTTTATTTATCCCAATTCGGGTTAAACTTGGAGTAACTTGTGCTCTAAGGCTATTATTTTTGATCATTACCATTCTAAAACTATTATCACACTCGTTTTTGAAATACCGAAAAAAAAGCAAGTGCATTTCTCAAGACTACTTGGTTCACATAAAACGCAAAAATTCGATGTTTCATTTCTTTTAAATTATAATTTAAAATAATTAGTTTTTAATTGCTAATAGTAAGAGTATATCCCAAAAAATTCAGCTCCCAGTCCAACCTTGCGTAGTTTTCTTATTTTATAGATATCCATCATCAAAATGTTGTCGCAGATTAGTACTGTTAACTGGCTTGGCAGGAGGTAAAACTGTCTTGGCGGCAACAAACAGATAGTGTTAACAATGTGTTAGTGTTAAAATATAAACATTAATAAATTTTTGGATGAAGAATGACAAAAACGTATGATGAAAGTTAGTTGATTAACGTTATGAACGGCAGCAAAGTGATGAGTTTATGGTTAGTAATTAAAAGATTGAATCTGTAAGATTTGTTGAGTGTGAAAGAAAAAAGTGGTCAATAATGGCGCCATGTTGTAGGTGCACGATGAGACGGCGTGACAAAGTGGTTTGAATATGACCGATGAAACGAGCCGCATCACTCTGGCGTTGGACAGTTAAACTGGTAAATTACATTGGCACACTATAAGTTGTTATTTTTTGTAACGTTATGTTTTTAATAATGAATTGTAATGTTTGTAAATTTTGGTAGTATATATGTAATTAAATTTTATTATTATTGCAAAGATGAACATTATTTCTGATATTATTTTGGTAGATCCGTCCGTCGGTTTTATAGTTCAGATGAATTTGGTTCATATAAAACAACTTAATAGTTAATTTGTAAGGAGTTTGTCTAAGTGACATTGTTATTGTGGATGTTTCTGGGTATAATTTGTGAAGACTTGATCGACGATACGGTTAAGATAATTATTATTAACAATCAATTGTTTTATGTGAAACAATTCGTGTTGAACAGATAGTGGATGGAACAAAGTCTGTAAGCTCTATTTACAAGGTTTCGAACCACACTAATATTGTACCGCTTCGAGTCATAGTTTAAATACTAACATAAATGTGTCGGCTTGTTGTAAACTTGTTTAGTGAAATAACCATCATGCTATGTTATTAGGGTGTCGAGAAAATAAATTTTGTGGTTTTGTTGAAATTCAATTGTGAAGTTGAGAACAGAACCGTTGTGTAGCAGAACACATAGATTGTAGGCATCTGAATTTAAAGTTGAAAATATCGTCAACATATCGTAAATATATTGGCGGTTTTAAGAAACATCAGCAAACCTGGTATGTTCTAAATTGCCCATATAGAATTCAGCGAAATGTGGGCCATGTGGTGATCCACTCGCGATTCCGTCTATATGTAAATATAACTGGTTGGTTGGTGTCGTGAAAAGAGATTGAATTGTACAATTTTTGAGTAGATTTATTGACAAGTGTTGAAGAATGCGGAGCTATTGCATTGTGGTGTAATGATAGGCCTAGTAGCAAATGTTGTTGATGCCATCGATCACTGGTACGTTGGTAAATAAACTTTCTACATCTAGTGACGCAACTGTGTCTTTGCAATCTGAGTTTTTGATGATATTCGCTAATTAGTAGCTCGATTTAACAGAGTATGTTTTAGGACAATACGGATAAAGTATTTTGTTGAGCAGCTTGGCGACCTTATAAGTTGGGGTTACACATTGTGCAATAATTGGATGTAAGGGATTATTTGGTTTGTGCGCTTTTACGTTGCCGTACAAATATCCTAGTTTATAGTCGTCTATTATGAATAGAAATTTTGATGAATGACGAATGTGAATTGATTTGACAAATGATTTTATTAGCTTCAATGTTGATGTTGATGTCAAACACCAACTTACAAGGTCACCAAGCTACTCAACAAAATACTTTTTTAGTATTGCTCCACCTTCAAGCCAAACAATAATTTTAAAATTGCTTCACTAGATGATAAATCTTTATTCACAAATGTACAGGGGTTAAAGAAACAATAGACACAATTTTAGGAAAATTTTATACCTCAGACAAACACTCTTAAAAGCTCAAAGAAAACATCTAAAATAGCTTCTGGAAATTTGTACGGTGGAAACACCTTTAGCACTATGCAAACAAACAAATGGCGTTGCAATGGGTTCACTATTTATTGGGTGTCCTATTTGCTAACTTTTAATAAAATATAAAGACCAAATTGCACGAATCAAATCGCAATTGTATGGTCAATAAGTAGATGACATTTGCGTTTTGCGATGATTTTTGTGAGTTTGTGGTGACATGTGGCAGATTATAATGGTATAGCGATGATGGTAGTGATAGTGATGATTATGGTGACATAATGATTTTTGGTGGTTAACCAAACACTGCTTGTTTTAAAAATTTTGAGAAAAATACATCATTACCTTTACCAATAAAGAGAGAGGTTAAAGGTTTCTCTCTTTTGCGTTTTGCTTCAGAGGTTTCAACGTCAAACAGAAATAAATAAATATAATCAAATTAAAAAAGTTGGGCAAAAACCAACTCTGACTAATAATTTTGTTGTGAAAAATGTGTCGGACCAACGTTTCATTTATTGGACAAAACGTCTTCGAGCAAAAACTTTACTGAGTAAATTTTTCGTTGTTCTGGCGAATCGTCGCTCGGGTGGACGCTTCTGTTATGTTATACTTATATTATATATAAGTAAGTATGTAAGTTTTGTTTGTAGAGTCATCAGTATTCTTACATAAAAATTTAATTTTGATCTTATGTAAACTGTCCTAAGCGTTTTTAGCTGAACGGATCTTCATTACATTTTTTAGTAATTTTATTATTTTTTGTGTTTAGTTATAAATTTCAAATTACAGTTTCAGAAATATTAACTTATTCTTTGAATA